CCACGGGGAGAGGTAGAAAGAGGGAGTGAACAAGAAGGAGAGTGGAACGGAACGGGGCAGGGTCCGCACGCGGGATTGAACCCGTTCCTGGCCAACGCACCAGATGAAAGGTTCGTCGTGGTAAAGAAAGGAGAGCCAGGCTAAATTTCTCAAAGGAAGGGAAAATTTATTGCGCCACGGGCGGACCTCAGGGACCCAAGGTGGGGACCGTGAAGCCGCACACATTGTCAGGGGGAAGCAGGTTTTTATCGTGTGAGGAGGTCAGATGGGAGACTGGGTTTGTAGGGCCAAAAAGATTGGTGTGTGGGGGGGGAGTTTCTTTGTCTGAGAAAAGATTTGTAGGGCATGGGAGGTTCATTGTCTGAATTCTCTAGGCAGGCTTCTGTAACAGGGTGGTCCCCAGGAAAGGGGGAGTTTCCCTGCCCCACCCAAGGGAGGGTGGAGCTGAGCAGGAAGAGGAGAAGCTGCAGAAGAGACTGAGGAAGGAAGCAGGATGGAGCCAGGAGACCTGGAGGAGGCGCATGGAGCCTAGAGACACGTGAAGAAACTGCGCTTGTCTTTTGGTCGTGGACTGGGTGACACAGATGTGGGTGAGACCCGTGGGGAGGTGACCATGGCAGCTTTTATCTGGATGTTGATTTTGCTCTTTTCCTTCCGGGCTTGTCCAGTTGTTTGTGACCCTTTTCTGTGGGTCCCCACTGGAAGATGCTTTAGACTTGTGGCAGGCTTTGGGGCCTTGCTCTGGGCCAATCCCATATGGATGGACTTTTACCCACGAGGGGACGGGTAACTTTAGGTGCTTCATTTAGAAACTAGACTCTTTGCCTTCCCTGTATTGTTTCCTAGTTTTATTAAAGTTCCTTCCCATTAAAGTCTCCTATGTTTTGTGTTGATGCGGCGGATGGCAGAACCCATTTAGAATAGGCAGGTTTGCGGGGCTTGGGCTGCCCCTCTCCCTGTCCTATAACAGATTTGGCGTCCAACGTGATTTAGGACAGAGCCATCCGTGGTTAGTCAGCCCCATGGGGAAATTGGGCTTCCCTATGGCACTGGCCACCATAAGCGCAAATGTGATTTTTGGTTTCTCCGGTGTGTTTGTTTCATATGTCGATTTGCTGTTGAAAAACTGGCTTGGGCTTTGTGAAGATCTGTGTGTCTGTATGTAATTTGTTTGTAGTGACTTTCTAAGACATTTGATTTTGTGGAAATTGTTCTGTGCCAGTTTTACTCAAAAGATTAGGCAGTACATTGGACCATGTGGCCAGATCAAAGATGGCGTCTGAGGCCACTTGGTGTGCTCTTGTAAAATTCAGAGTTTCTTGTTGCTAGGACTTTGGAACTTTTTTTTTTTTTTCTTTCTTTTTGCAATCTCTGCTGTCTCATTAGCATTTCTAAAGGCAATAATGGTTCTTCAGTGGTATGTTGCTTTGTCTTTGGCAACTTCCTGCTCTCTGCCTGATGGATTTTGCAAGCCAACTGTGGAGCAGTGGTGTTTTAATTAGCAAATGTATGCCTGGGTGTTAAGGAAAGAGTAGCCTTAAGCAGTAACTGGTAATCACTGGTATCCTTGATGGATTCTTGGAGATAACTTGAATTTTTGCAAAGTCTGGATCAGAAAAATTAACAAGATTTTGTCTGAGTCTGAAAGGATTTGCTGCTGTGAATTTTGTCTACACAATTTGTTTTGGGCATGTTTGCCATTTTGAATCCTGGATTTGTTCAATTGCTGGTGTAAGACAAGATTCTAAGTTTCTGCTTCCTATTGAGGAAGGTCTGTTATGGAAAGCACTCTTTAGGGTGCATCATGTAACTATACCAGGTTTTCATACCTGTGTTGTTGTTGTCCCTCCCTAGTGTGGGGGAGGTGTAATTTGTGCTTAGATGTTTAATCTGCTCTTTCAGCTTCTGTCCCAGAGTGGCTAACAGAAGTAAGGAGATGACTCCTTTTAATTAAAAGTTAATTACTGATATTTTGATTTTGCTTTTTCGGGTTCTATTCCAGGAAACCCAAGGAGTGCCTGCTTGGTGGCTAACAAGAGATGACTCCTTTTGCTTAAAAGTTAACTGTTACTTTTATTCTTTCAGTTGCTGTACAGAATACCCCAGGATTGACTTCTAATAAAAAGTCTTCAACACTAAAAACCCTAAGGTGATAAACAAGGTCATGGAACTCTTGTGATTAATAAAACTTTTCCTTCCTATTTCCAAAGTCTTAGGTTTGCAGGATGACAACTGGAAATATTTCTGCCAGCAACACTCCGCATTTTTTTTGGACTTTGATATTTTTTTTCTGAGCCTATGGAGTAAAACTGCAGTTACATAACATATTCTACGTGGCATAACTAAAAAAAAACTGTCTTTGTCTATACGTTGTATGTCTGTATGTCCTTGTGTCTAACTGTCTTGACCTCCAGTGATCGACAAATTGGTATACATGGTGCCCATAGACGTTGGAAAGGAAAAAAAAAAAGAGTCTCCAGTTATGAGAAAAACAAAAAGTTATGGTTTGATTGTCAACATTGTGCTACTGAACTAAGCCGGTGCCTTCATAGAGATTAAATATTGTTGTTTCTGTTATTTTTCTGATATTTATGGCAAAGCTTCCCAGAAATCTAAATTCAAGTACAAATTTGGTAGCCTGTCATTTGACTGCTGCAAGGAAATTTTGTGGAACCTCAGTAGAGCTCCTGAGACACTCCACGAAGTTTCTCCCTTTCCTCCTGGGAAGGCATTAGATGAATTTGTTCTATTTGGATTTTACCTAATGAAGTAAAACTGGAAGGGAAGCATTGTCACTTGGGAAAATGGTAAAACTTTGGTATGTACAAAATGTTAACAGTAGTATCTGGTATGTATGTAAATTGTCAATGGTGACTGTCACCTTGTAATATTGTATAATTCAATTGTTTCACACCTACAGAAATTGTTTCCGGAAATATAGGGAGAAAAGGTCTCAACAGATTCCTATTGATGGAACTGTTGAGAGGAAAAACTTTCCTACAAAGGACTGAATAGACCTGGAAATACACCTAACATTTACTAAGGTTTCTTTGACATAATACTGGAAATTTTTTTATGCATTCTGTCCTGAATCCACTAAGTTTTTGTTTTGTTTTGTTTTGTTTGAGTAACCAGGATCTGCAGAAAGGTTGTAATTTTTTTTCCAGCAAAACTAACTTGTCACATTTTCTCTCCCCTTGATATCAACACAGCATACAAATAGTGGTAGTAATTTTTGCTACTTATCTTAGAGTCTGTTTTTGCGTAACTTCCATAGGGATTTTGTCTGTTTTAAAAAAAAAAATTGGACGTGAGTTTGATTGTGTGGCTTTGTGTGGAGTTCTTCCAAAAAGTTGAAAAAGAGCTGAACCAAGAAGAGGAGAACCTGTTTGCCTTCTTTGTAGGGTTCCAGAGACCTCCAAAGAAGGTGAGGAAGCTTGCCTCCATTGGCAGGACTGGACAACCCGGCCAACGAAAAAGCCCTGGTACCCTCAAGAAGAGGAAAGCCCAGGTGGAGTCTGATGAGACCAACTTTATACCTGAAGCCTACATCCACTGGATGCCACCGGTTCGCTCTGATCCTGTGTGGAGTATTTCAACAAAGCCAGCTAAAAATTGCTGTTAGTTATTTTCTGCCCTGTGATTTTATGCAAAAATAGGAAAAATGGTTTAAAAGTAGATTTAGTTTGCAAACTTTTGCTTTGCTGTTAAAAGTTTGGGATCGAGGTTGAGAAAATTTGTGGTTTTTTACATCAGTTGAACCATTTTAACATTTTTTTCCCTGTGATTTTGATATATTTGCTATCTTGTTTTAGCCAATTCTCCAGATTTTTTTTTTCTTTTGGCTTGAATAATGGACTATTTTTAAGTAATGAAACTGTCATAGTGGACATTCATGGACAATGCCGCTGACTAATTGTTGCTTCTCTTACACACATTGTAACCCTGAAAAAAGACTGTCTCCTAAGACTACACCCTGAGATCTGTGCCACCATAGATATGGTGGAATAAAAATTAAAAGGGGGGATTGTAACAGGGTGGTCCCCAGGAAAGGGGGAGTTTCCCTGCCCCACCCAAGGGAGGGTGGAGCTGAGCAGGAAGAGGAGAAGCTGCAGAAGAGACTGAGGAAGGAAGCAGGATGGAGCCAGGAGACCTGGAGGAGGTGCATGGAGCCTAGAGACACGTGAAGAAACTGCGCTTGTCTTTTGGTCGTGGACTGGGTGACACAGATGTGGGTGAGACCCGTGGGGAGGTGACCATGGCAGCTTTTATCTGGATGTTGATTTTGCTCTTTTCCTTCCGGGCTTGTCCAGTTGTTTGTGACCCTTTTCTGTGGGTCCCCACTGGAAGATGCTTTAGACTTGTGGCAGGCTTTGGGGCCTTGCTCTGGGCCAATCCCATATGGATGGACTTTTACCCACGAGGGGACGGGTAACTTTAGGTGCTTCATTTAGAAACTAGACTCTTTGCCTTACCTGTATTGTTTCCTAGTTTTATTAAAGTTCCTTCCCATTAAAGTCTCCTATGTTTTGTGTTGATGCGGCGGATGGCAGAACCCATTTAGAATAGGCAGGTTTGCGGGGCTTGGGCTGCCCCTCTCCCTGTCCTATAACACTTCCACATTCCTGTTTCCTGGTGGGCTTCCTGGTGGGTTTTTGCATCCAGGCCTCCTGCATGGACCTTTCAGTAGTGAAACAATGGGTAACTTTTTTTTTTTTAAATCATACAATTGTATGATTATCCTTACATTTACAGAAAGTTATTTTCTTAAAAATGCTTACTTAGCATACGTTGGTTATTGTGGAACCAAGCTTAGCTGAGGTTTCGCCATTTTGTATATCCTCCACCTTGATATGTTAGTCCTTGTCCAGCCGCATTCCGGAGATAGTTTCAGCAGTCACAACCCTCACTCCACTTGGTGACGAAAAAGCAGACCACCCCAGCCGCCAATGAGGGCAGTCCTGTCCATAAATGGGACAGCATCTCTAACCGTCCAATCAGTTTGAAACTGTAACCGCGCGCGCCCAAAGTGCCTTTGTAGTAGCCAATGAATAATTGCCAACTTCTTTCAAAGTTCCCGCCACTCGCGACCCTATAAGATGTCCCAGCTTCCTCTGTTCGGGGCTCTCGACCTCTGCCGTTGCATCGGTGCGTGTCGAGGGCCCGGTCTCGAGCCCGTATTAAACTCCTTTGTGCCCTTGCATCGGTTGTCTGTGTCCTTGGGGGCTGCACTGGTCGACGTGGGCACAACATTTTGGGGGCTCGTCCGGGATCGACGAGTGCAGACCCCAACTGCCGAGCAACCGAAAGGAGTTCTAAAGCGCGCAGGTGAGTTCCAACACTCGCCCAGGTAAGCTTCAAGTCTGCAGACCTGTAGTTGTACTTAGTACCTGTATCTTTTGTACTTTGTACCTGTAGAAGCTGTTTTGTACTTAGTACCTGTATCTTTTGTACTTTGTACCTGTAGAAGCTGTTTTGTACTTAGTACCTGTATCTTTTGTACTTTGTACCTGTAGAAGCTGTTTTGTACTTAGTACCTGTATCTTTTGTACTTTGTACCTGTAAAAGCTGTAATTGTTTGCAAACCTGAAAATCTGTTCAATAGCCGGGTCAGGCTTAAGTGGACGCACTTGAAAGCCGCCGGCGTGGACCGCGGGAGACGTCCCCGGACCACATGTTAGGAAGGCCACACCCTTTGCGGGGAAGCAGATACCCCTTTTGGGGGCCTTTTGAAAAATCAGTCTTTGGCCTGTTTCTTGTGACGACAGCCACTGTACTTCTAGCATTTGTCATCATGGGTCAATCACCATCTACCCCTCTATCCGTTGTTTTACAGCATTTTAAAGATGTCAGGTCCAGAGGGTCGGACCTCAGTGTAAATATAAAAAAATCCCCTCTAATCACCTTTTGTTCCTCAGAGTGGCCGAAGTTCGGAGTTGGTTGGCCCCCGGAGGGAACTTTTGATTTACAGATTGTCCGTCGCGTAAAGGAAATCATCACCAGTGAAAGAAAATTCGGACATCCTGACCAACTCCCGTATATCTTAGTCTGGCAAGATCTAGTCCAGAACCCCCCTGCTTGGTTAAAGCCATTTTTGTCGTTACAGGCACAACCCGTACTGCCGGCTAAACTGCTTGGGTCCCACCCCAACACCCCGTCGGCACCTGCGGTTATCCAAGATTCTACCCCGGAGGAACTTCTATTTCCACCACCCTATCATAACCCTTGTAGTAACCCTCCCCAACTCCTGCGGTCGGCTGACCACCCTCTCCCAGAGGCGGGCGGGGCTCGTGGGCAGGGTCCGGCGGCAGGCACCCGCTCAGTGAAGGCGAATTCCCCGGATTCCACCGTCCTGCCCCTGCGTGTGGCAGGATTGCCTAATGAGCAGGGCAACCAGCCCATGCACTACTGGCCGTTTGCGACCAGTGACCTCTACAACTGGAGAGCACAAAATGCACGTTTCTCTGACAACCCTAAAGACCTTGTTAATCTCCTAGACACTGTTCTATTTACTCATCAGCCCACCTGGGATGATTGCCAACAGCTCTTGCAGGTCCTCTTCACCACTGAGGAGCGAGATCGTATACTGACGGCCGCCAGGAAATTAGTCCCTGGAGAAGATGGCACACCCACCACAAACGCGGCCCGCATAGATTTAGTGTTTCCCTTGACCCGACCTGACTGGGATTTTAACCAGGCTGAAGGTAAGGAGAGACTCCGGGTGTACCGCCAGACTCTAATGGCAGGGTTGCGTGCAGCAGCCCGCAAGCCCACCAATTTGGCCAAGGTAGGGGATGTGCAGCAGGGAAGGGAGGAGACCCCCGCGGCTTTTCTAGAACGCCTCATGGAAGCTTTTCGGCAATATACTCCTATGGATCCGGAGGCAACGGAGAACAGGGCCGCGGTGGTAATGGCCTTTGTTAACCAGGCGGCTCCTGACATTAAACAAAAACTACAAAGAATAGATAGGCTGGGAGAAAAATCTATTCGAGATCTTATGGAGGTGGCAGAAAAGGTGTACAATCGCCGTGAAACTCCTGAGCAAAGAGAAGACCGCATCCGCCAGGAAGAACGGAAGGTAAGGGCGGCTGAAAACGCACGCCACACTCGGGATATGGCCAGAATCCTGTTCGCCGTCACTCAAAAGGACAACCCGGGTAAGCTACACCCCTCCCGCCGCCCCAGCTCCACAGGGACAGGCAGGACCCTACAGCGTGATCAATGTGCATACTGCACTCAAAAAGGACACTGGGCCAAACATTGCCCAAAGAAACGGGGAATAACCTCAAACAACCCCGCCGTTTCTGACACTCCTGTCCTGGTGCTCGGGGGCACAAGAGATGACAGTGACTAGGACCGTCAGGGCTCGACCCTCCCCGAGCCCCGGCTAACCTTAAAAGTGGAGGGGAGACCCGTTAATTTCCTTGTGGACACGGGGGCACAGCATTCAGTCCTCACGGAACCCTTGGGTAAACTTTCCGGTAAAACTTCGTGGGTGCAAGGGGCTACGGGATGCAAGCAGTATCCCTGGACCACGAAAAGATCTGTAGACCTGGAAAAAGGTCAGGTCTCGCACACCTTCGTTGTAATTCCTGAATGCCCGTACCCATTAATTGGAAGAGACCTTTTAACCAAGGTAGGAGCGCAAATCTCATTTGGACAGGAAGGTGTCGAAATCAAGGACTTTAAGGGCTCTCCCCTACACGTCCTCACGATTTCCCTTCAAGATGAGTACCGCCTTTTGGTGGCGCCAGATCACCCACCCCTTTCTGGGTGGTGGATGGAATCTTTCTCGAATGTTTGGGCAGAAACCGGGGGCGTTGGCCTGGCGTCCCACAGACCACCCATTATAGTCCAGCTAAAGCCTGGGGCTGAACCCATTCGGGTAAAACAGTACCCTATGCCTGCAGAAGCCAAGGCAGGAATAACGCCTCATATTCGGAGGCTATTGGACAGTGGTATCCTTAAAACATGCCATTCGTCATGGAACACCCCTTTGTTACCGGTGCGAAAACCACACTCGCAAGACTTCAGGCCGGTACAGGACCTCAGAGAAGTAAATAAACGGGTCATAGATATCCACCCCACAGTCCCAAACCCTTATACCTTGCTGAGTGCCTTGCCACCTACTCATGTGTGGTACACAGTATTGGACTTAAAAGATGCCTTCTTTAGTCTACCACTAGCACCCCAAAGCCAGGAAATGTTTGCCTTTGAATGGCAGGATGCGGAACGGGGCATCAGTGGACAATTAACTTGGACAAGGTTGCCTCAAGGGTTTAAAAACTCTCCCACCCTTTTTGACGAGGCCCTTCATGAGGATTTAAGAAAATTCCGCAGCCGATTTCCCGAACTAACTTTGCTCCAGTATGTTGATGATCTGTTACTTGCAGCGGAAAGTGAGCAGGCCTGCCGAACAGGAACAGCCGAATTACTGACGGAACTGGGCCAGATGGGATACCGCGTCTCCGCAAAAAAGGCACAAATTTGCCTGCCCGAGGTAATCTATCTGGGCTACCGCCTCAAAAACGGTTATAGGTGGCTGACGGAAGCCAGAAAAGCTACTGTCTTACAGTTACCGACACCCACCACCAAAAGGGAGGTACGTGAGTTCCTGGGATCTGCTGGGTTTTGCCGGCTATGGATACCTGGATTCGCAGACCTGGCCCAACCCTTGTATGAGGCTACCCGGGAAAAAGTAACTTTTCAGTGGACTCCCCAGATGCAGCAGTCCTTTGAGTCCTTAAAGAGGGCTTTACTGTCTGCACCAGCCCTGGGTCTTCCGGACATTACAAAGCCTTTCCATTTGTTCGTAGATGAGGCAAAGGGCATAGCTAAAGGGGTGCTCACTCAGTCCTTGGGCCCCTGGAGGCGTCCTGTGGCTTATCTGTCTAAAAAGTTAGACCCGGTGACGTCCGGCTGGCCACCGTGCTTACGCATGGTGGCAGCGGCTGCCCTCCTTTTCAAGGACTCCCAAAAACTGTCTCTGGGACAAGTTACTTCCATAACCACCCCCCATGCGGTGGAAGGAGTCCTCAGGCAGCCGCCAGAGAGGTGGATGAGTAATGCCCGAATCACGCATTACCAAAGCCTATTGCTCAACCCAGAGAGGGTCAATTTTTCGCCACCCACGGGGCTAAACCCCGCCTCCCTCCTACCTGCCCCTGACCTGGAGGCCCATCTAGACTGTGTTGATATCTTGGCCCAGGTCCAAGGGTTACGCCCTGATCTGCGAGATAACCCTCTGCCGGACGGACTGGTTTGGTTTACGGATGGGAGCAGTTTTATCCACGAGGGCCGAAGAGCGGCAGGGGCGGCAGTGGTGTCCATGCAGGAAGTCATATGGGCTGAGCCTTTGCCATCCGGGACGTCCGCTCAAAAGGCTGAACTAATTGCCCTAACCAAAGCTCTCACCTTGGCTCGAGGGAAAAATTTAACTGTGTATACTGACAGCAGATATGCATTTGCCACGGCCCACGTACACGGGGCCATATATCGAGAGCGCGGGCTCTTAACCTCCGACGGCAAAGGCATTAAAAACGCTCAAGAAATTATGGATCTCCTGGCAGCGCTGTGGCTACCACGTAAGCTGGCTATAGTACATCATCCAGGTCATCAAAAGGACTCCTCGACTCCAACTCAAGGTAATAAGCGGGCGGATGAGGCAGCACGCCAAGCTGCCCTAATGCCGGTAGATGCCCTGACAGTAAAACTCCCAGACCCAGGGGACCCGCAGCTGCCGGAAGACCCAGAGTATAGTGCTATGGACTTTGACTACATACAGTCTCTACCGGGTGCTTTTTCTTTGGGACACTGGTGGTACACCCAAGAAACTAAGGCCATCTTGCCAGCACACTTGGCCACTGATCTCATTCAGCGCTTGCACCGAGCCACGCATTTGGGAGAGAGAAAAATTCTAACTCTAATCAGGCAATGGAACCTCCATGTCCGGGACGCAACCTGTACCGTGCGACAAGTAGTGGCATCCTGCCAGTCGTGTGCCATGGTAAACGCCACCAAGACAACCGGTGAACCAGGAATGAGGCCGCGAGGAACGCGCCCGGGGGTCCATTGGGAAATAGACTTCACCGAGGTAAGACCAGGTAAATTTGGCTATCGATACCTGCTGGTCCTGGTGGACACGTTTTCCGGATGGCCGGAGGCGTTCCCGACAAGAGGTGAGTCAGCTCGAGTGGTAGCCAAAATCCTGTTGGAAAACATTTTTCCTAGATTTGGGTTTCCAGTGACCATTGGGTCAGACAATGGACCAGCCTTTGTCTCTCAGGTATCGAAATCTGTGGCTTCTGCCCTGGGAGCAGAGTGGAAGCTCCATTGTGCCTATCGGCCCCAGAGTTCAGGGCAGGTGGAGAGAATGAACAGAACTTTAAAAGAAACTTTAACTAAATTAACTTTAGAGTCTGGCGGGGACTGGGTGACTCTCCTTCCCTATGCCCTCTTCCGGGCTCGCAATTCCCCTTATCGTCTGGGTCTGTCTCCGTTCGAGATTATCTATGGAACCGCCCCCCCAACCACACCGCACGGTGCGCAGTTAGCTTGTGATTTGCCTTCTGATTGTGAACTTTTTCTTTCTGTGTGGGCTGTACAGCAGGCTCACCAGGAGGTCTGGCCCCGCCTCAGAGCGCTCTATGAAGGGGGAGGACCTTCTCAGACAGCCCACAAATTTCAGCCTGGAGATCTTGTCCTTGTCCGCCGACACAAGACCGACGGTCGTGGCCTCCAGCCCCGGTGGAAGGGTCCCTACATCGTCCTCCTGACCACACCCACCGCACTCAAAGTGGACGGCATCGCGGCCTGGGTTCATCACTCACACGTCAAGACGGCACCAACTGACGACTCCCAGCTGCAGTGGCGAGCCCGGAAGCATCCCACCAATCCACTCAAGCTGACTCTTCAGGCGCTCCCGGCTACAACCCATCGCTCCCAGACCACTGCCCACGCCGTGAAAAATGACACCAAACTGTAATGTTGGCTACCTACTGTCCTTCCTTTGTTTTCTCCTTGTCGGGGCTGACTGGGATCCCTGCCGATGGTGCATCACCGAAGGCATATTCGGTCATATTCAGAGCAAGTGCTATGTTAGCAAGCGTGCTTGCAGCCTTAAGGGAGTTCCTCTGTTTGTGGCGACCCTGATTAAGGGCACCACCCATGGATGTCCAGGTACAGTGGGAAGGGTGGTCTGTTGGAAGCGTTTAAATCAAATGCCGCCTAAAAATGAAAGTTGCAATCACTGTAAAGAGGGGGGGAGTTTTTCAGCCTATACCTTTGTTCATTCACAGTGCTATGAAAGGTCTACTGTTTATCAGTGCACAGAGTCCAATCAAACTTTCTGGACTGGTATATCCTTAGGAAATAACGCGGGATATGTATGCCCTGTCAAAGCAGGAAAACCCTTTTGTTGGACTCTGCAAACCCACTGGGGGATGACAGATGGTGGGGGTGTGCAAGACCACGCACGAAAGCAGGAAGTTCAGAGGGTTTTTGAACAAGTTGCCCAAACACAGGATCGGTGGTTCAAGCCGATACACATCCCAGGCCCGGTGGGTTCCCTTAAATTGGAAAAGACAGTACAGGCCATGTTAGACTCAGCCCTACAATTTTTAAACAAGACCAACCCAACCCTGGCCAGCGATTGCTGGTTATGTCTAAGAGAAGGACCCCCCCGTTACACAGCGATCCCTGCTGTGTACAACTGGATTAATTGGACAAACCTAAAGGGCCCAACCCATACGTGTAACCAGACCTTGCCCATCAATAATGTCAAGCTCTCCCCAACAGTTGCTCAGATGCCATGCCTTAGTCACAATGGGACCTTAAGAGTGGGTCAAGTAAATAAGGTACTCTGCAGTTCAGTAGTCAGTGCAACTAAGGCGCCCAGTTTTAATGGCTCTGCCTCTATGTGCCCGCCGGCACTGGGCACTATTTTCTTCTGTGGCACCACAGCCTACCCCGTACTCCCTGCTAACTGGTCGGGCTTGTGCATTTTAACATATCTCATGCCCGATGTGGGAGTGGTCCCAGGCAACCAAAGCCTTCCCATACAGCTCATCCAGTCTGTGCCTGCCGGACATAAGCGGGCCATAATTACCCCACTACTGCTCGGCCTGGGGGTGGCAGCCGGAGTGGGGACCGGAGTTGCTGGAATTGGGACCTCTGTTAACCTTTACCAAAAAATTTCAGCTCAGCTGGTGGGGGACATTGGGCGGCTAGCAGATACAACCTTAGAGTTACAGTCTCAGTTAGACTCTTTGGCCGCGGTGGTCCTGCAAAACCGCCGCGGGCTAGATCTTCTCACAGCAAAGGAAGGAGGCATCTGTCTCTACCTGCGGGAAGAATGTTGCTTCTATGCTAACAAGTCAGGAATAGTTAGAAATA